GAGCTGGCCTCACTGCTGAGAACCTTGCCACGGTTCTCCCAGCCCTCGATGTTTTTGCTCGGGTTGGTGCACGGCGGCCTGCGTGGAGGCTGGAGGTAGTCCTTTATCTCCATCTGCGGCTCCACGGAGGAGGAGGAGGAGGAGGAAGAGTAGGAGGAAGGAGAAGGAGGTGGAGGAGGAAGGGGCCGAGCGGCCGCACGCGTGATGCGCACGTGCACTGGCGACGCTATGTGTAAGTCGGGCGTGCCCCCTACAGGAGGAGTGCGCAAACAAAAATGAAACAATAGTCTGGGGACGATCTTCTTGGCATGCGTTGATTGCTGTTGCATGTGTTTGGCTATCTTTACTTTTCCTCCAAAATCCGCCTGTAGGAGGACATGCCTGACTTAACGCTGTGTAGAGCATGGTTGTTTGGATAGGGCTTGGCGGCGGTTGACCATTATTGTGCAGCCATTGTTTAGACAGGCGAGGGCGTAAGCCGACACTGGGGCTCCCAAGTCCCCGACCGAACGCGGCAAACAAATTGTGACCACGTGTCGTCGTGTGTTTTGGTCCTTGGGGTGCCCAATTCTCGGGGATGGACAGACCTCCCTTTAGTAAAACGTGGTTTAGTGAAAACGACCTCAGGCCCAAACCTGGCGGGCGCAAGCCTGGAAAACAACGGCCACTGCGCCCTCTCGAGAACCGAAAACGGACAATTCACTAATCGACGTGTCACTGTTGGGGGCTCTGTCCACCTCCGAAGTCTGTAGAGAGGGGGGCCCAGGAGCCCAGGGGACAGGAGCTGGCCCGGCGACGCGTGGTAACGATCCTCCTCCTCCTCCTCCTCCTCCGCCTCCGCCCCCTCCTCCTCCTACTCCCCCTCCCTCCTCCTCCTCCTCCTCCTCCTCCTCCTCCTCCTCCTCCTCCTCCTCCTCCTCCTCCTCCTCCTCCTCCTCGTCCCCCCCTCCTCCTACTCACCCTCCCTCCTCCATCCTCCACTCTCCCTCCCTCCTTCCCTCCTCTTCCTCCTCCTCCTCCATCTCCTCATCTCCTCCTCTTCTTTCTCCTCCTCCTCCTCCGCCCCCTCGCTTCTCCTCCCGCTCCTTCACCTTGCCCCAGCTCTGCTGTTGCCAGGGAGCTCCAGGAAACGCCTCCTCCTCTTCCTTCTACGCCTCCTCCCTCCTCCTCCTCCTCCTCCTCCCCCTCCTTCCCTCCCCTCCTCCTCCTTCTCCTCCTCCTCTCCTCCTCCCTCCTCCTCTTCCTTCCTCCTCCTCCTCCTCCTCCTCCTCCTCCCTCCTCCTGGGAACGACGACACGAGGGCCTGAGTCTGGTACCGATGCCAGGGCCCTTAAAAGAGGAAAAGGGGGCAGGATAGCTCACCCAGGACTGGGCCAAGACTCGTCTGGCCAGGCACCCCGATTGGGCGGGAGGAGTCCTCTGGCGAGCTTATCCAATGCTTCCTAAGGGGGCGTAGTCCACAATTGAGAGCGGAGCCCCAGTCCCTCAGAAGAGAGACGCAAACAGGTCGAACCCCACGAGGATGAAGCCGCCTAGCAGGCCCCGGCAGCATAGGTAGATCGCGACCGAGCACGAGAGAAGATGCCATACCTATGAAGCCAGGCCCGAGAAGGCGCTCACCGCCCTGAGGAAGACCCGCACGTGCACGTGACCCAGCACGCAGTGGCCACTCCAGCGTGCCCTCGCCGTATGCTGCTGGGGTTACAGCGGCCTGCGCACCTGCCACGGCATGTCACGCATGTCCAAATTAGCGAACACCAAAAGACAGGATCGTGCCACTTGCCAGCCTGAAAACACGAAGACCACGAATGAGACGGCACCGCCGAGGGTCAGACACGAAGAAAATGAATTTCACCCCGCTGGGAACGTTGCCCAGCTGGTTCAGCAGGTATTTGAAGCCGAAGGCGTGAATGGCCTCCGACTCGTACAGGTTGTCAGCGATGCCCCAGGTCTGAGGGTCATCACGTCCACGGCGGGAGCCTCCACGAGCTTCGTCAGAGACTCCTCGTCCAGGGGGGGCGCCTTGGTCTTGTACAGGCCTTCCGACTGAGACTTGAAGGAGTCCTTCATGGTCTCGGCGCCTTCTCCTTGCCGCGCGCCGCCACCAGGGAGGCCCATGGAGGCGAGGGGGGAAGGAGGCCCCCCTGGGCACCGACAAAATGCCGGATTTTCCGCCGCGCGCCACCGCTAACGACGTGCCCGTCTCCCCGCCCCGCCGCGCGCCCCGAAGGAGACCCGACGCGAGGGCGGCGCCACTGAGCCAGACAGACTACAGGGCTCTCACCCCGTTTGGACCCCGTTCGGGGTTCAAGCGGGGCTTGAACCAAAATGGCTACGGCCCTCCTCCCTCCTCCTCCTCCTCCTCCTCCTCCTCCTCCTCCTCCTCCTCCTCCTCCTCCTCCCCCTCCTCCTCCTCCTCCTCCTCCTCCTCCTTCGACTTCCTCCTCCTCCTCCTCCTCCTCCTCCTCCTCCGTATTCCTCCTCCTCCAGGAGCGGCCTCGGGGATGCGGGGCACCGATAAGGCAGGACCGACCGCCATCGAATCGGGACATCGAATCGAATCGGACTGCGCATCGGGTCGGGCCGCAGCGGCACGGAGTCGCACTCGAACCGAATGGGCCGCGCCAAGATGCACGACAACGCCATGCCACCACCAGGCCGTACCAGATCGTCGCAATTGGAGAAACCACAAGGTACCGTTACCTCTACTCCGCAGGCCTCTCCCGGGGCGGGTTCTGACCAGGACTTCGAAGCGAATCCGGCGGTGGCGACGAGGGCCTCCCAGGAAGCCCAAAACGGCGGAAAACAAAGGAAAGGTAGCGATATGGGTACCATTCCCTCCTCCGAGCAATGCCAGAACCGAGTCGGCGCGGGCCAGCGGGCCAGCCAGAACCGATATCGAATCGGACCGATCGAACCGAAATGGACCCTGCAGGGGGGCACCAGCTCGGGGGGGAAACCACCGACCCGGAATCGGAGACACATCGCCGATGGATCGACGACGGACTCCCGGTAGCGAATCCGCATGTTCCTGGGCGGGGTGACTAGTCACGAGTACACAATGTCCAAGCGAGGACAGCCTTACACACATACGCACACACACACACACGCGCACGCACGCCCACACACACAAACAGACACTTGTTCATGCCGCGGCCACGCGCGCAATGGCGCGGCGCAGTGCAAGTCCACACATATATATACACACGCACTGACACACAAACACACACACACACACTGACACACACACACACGCACACACACAGCGCACACACAAACACACGGACACGCCCACACACATACTTTTTGACGACGCAGCCACGCGCGCGGCGGCACGGCGTAGAAAGTCGTGCGAAGAGATGCGCGCGGCCAGCCAAGGACACGCGGCGTGTGAACAAAACGCGCACACGCACACGCACATGCACACGCACACGCACACGCACACACACGCACACACTCACACACACACACACGCACTTTTGCTGGCGGCCCATTGCGTAGCATCTGGGTCGTGCGGCATCGCGTGCAGTTAACCAGTATAATCAAGCTGTCCAAGCTACAGAAGGCTCAGCGGCATCGCGAAGGTGTGCATCCGATGCGCTAAACTCACGCGCGTAATTATGAGAACATGCGGCCGCATATGCAGGGAAACGATACGCCGGAACGCCAGACGTGCCAACTTGTCCAGGGAAAGGGGAGAACGGACTAACGAAGAGGAGGAGGAGGAGGAGACGCACCGACCGAGAGGAGGAGAGAGAGGTCCCACCTCCGTCCTGGCAACCTTCCCCGCGCGCACCCGCCTGACCGCCGTACGACAACGGGCGGTCGTTGGCGCGGGCGTATGCGGCGGGCGAGGGGAACGGACGAACGAGGAGGAGGAGGAGGAGGAGGAGGAGGAGGAGGAGGAGGAGGAGGAGGAAGAGAGACACGCGAAACAGTACACCTGTGTAGCACAAGGGCAATCTCAGAGTACCGCTCCAAAGGGGGGGGGCCGAGCCTGCGCGCGCGGAAGGGGGAGCCGCCGCCCCGAAGGAGTACGTGCACCAAAGGGGGCCGGCGCTACATCGACGCAGGCGAGTTCGGCGGCCAGGACGCAACACGAGACACTCGAGGCCTCCCAAATGGGGTCCGAGTAGATGGGGTCGGAGGATCGCGCCGGATCGCCGAAGCATCGACGAAGTCGGCGATGCATCGGCGAAATCGGGCTCCCCATCAAGCTGAATCGCCGATTTTCCGTCGATGCGGCGTGATCCTCTGACCCCACCTGCTCGCAGCCTTTCAGCCCATCTGGGAATCCTAGACGGCCTCCGATCAGGGCGGCTCGAGACACTGGGAATTCAGAATCCGTCACCAGACCCCCCTGGGGTCCAAGCGCACCAGTTTGCCCCGCTGCGTCCAGCCGTGGCGACGAGCCCCCCCCCCCCGAGGGCCAGCTACCAGTCTCGAGCGGCCGCTGACAACCGCAGCACGCGACATGTCGTCGCGAGGTCCGCGCTCCAGGGCGCTGCCGGGCGGGCAATTCGCGCCCAGCGGGTGCGCGGATCGGGGCGGCCGACCCTGGGCAACCGCGCCCATTGAGCAGGGACCGACCGTCCCGGCATTCCTACCGTCCTACCACGAGCATTTTCGCAAAGAGCGAAATCAGATTCCAAACAAGACCGATCTACTGAACCGAAGACAGACTCCGCCGCACATGTTCTGAGGGCATGTCGCGCAGACCACAAAAGGCTCTTAGAACATCATGTGGTGGCCCTAGAAGCGAGTCTGGACGCTTCGCCACTGCTCGAGCCCGGGGGTTGGCGTACAGTGGAGGCCAGTCCACGAGAAACCTTCCACAAGAAACCCAACCCTGCGACCTCAGGACGTCTATAAATCTTGTGGTGTGGGAACGTCACGCTTTCCATGGCCAAACCACCGGAACCCGAGGCACAACCACCGAACCACCCTGGGGGTAGGCAAGGTGCTTCTTGGCATGGGCTCCCACTGTACTTGGCCAGGGCTCAGGCCGGGCAGGACCTCCTGCGGGCGGATGTGGGAGGACAAACGAACCATAGCAAAACAAAGACGTAACACATGCGCAAAACATCGTCTCCACTCTTCTTTTTTTTGTAACACAAATCCAGACCACCGACGTCATGATTTTTTCATGACGCGACCCCCAGAGGTCCGGACCCCTTCCCTGGGACCGGTTTTTCATCCCGAGTCGTTTTTTGACGGTCCCGAGGCCCCGTAAGGGCCCCCGGGGGCCGAAAATGGCGAAAAACCTCCCGTCGTGATTTTTTCACGACCCGAGGGGGTCTGGGAATTGTGTAATTATTCCTCCTGTGGAGAAGGACGCGCCCACTCGATACGTCCGGGCGGCCCGTCCGCTCCCGGCCCACGGGCGGCCGGCGGGCGATCCCCGGCCGGCGGCCCCCGGGCAGGGCGCGGGCGGGCGGCGCCTATGGGCGCGCGCCGCCCCGCGAGGCAGGCGGCGTCGCGCACGGGCGCGCGCGCCGCGTTGGCAGGCAGGTTGACCGCACCTCTCGGCCCCTCCTCCTCCCCTCTGGGGGCCCACCTCCTCCCGTCCTCCCCCCCCCTCTCCTCCTCCTCCTCCTCCTCCTCCCAATCCTCCTCCCCCCTCCTCCTCCTCCTCCTCCTCCTCCTCCTCCCCCCTCCTCCTCCCCCTTCGCGTCGCGAGAACCAGAAAAACAAAAACGCGACGGGCGGCCCCATGGACCCTCCTACAGGCGGACTTTGGAGGACAGATAAACCATAGTAAAACAACAACGTAGAAGGTACGCAAAACATGGTCTCCATTCTTTTGTTATGCACTAGTTCTGCCCGTGTCGCGAGAACCAAAAAAACGCGATGGGCGGCCTGGTCGCTGCCGTCGGCCTCCGCCGGGGCCCCCTCCGGGCCTCGGGGCCGTCCGAGTCGGCGGCGGACAAACCTCCCTTTAGCGAACCTCCCCGGGACCGAAACCGACGGACCTGGACCCGCAAAAAAGATGGCCGGGACGCCCCCTCGCGAGCCGAAAACGGCCAATTCCTGAATCGGCGTGTCAGGGTAGGAGGTCTATCCACCTCCGACAAAAGACGACTCCTATAGGATGCAGAACCGGCCCTGGGGGACTGGGTCCGGACCTCTGGGGGCCGCGTCATGGGGCCTGCGTACGCCGACACGCTTCCTGCGGCCCTGCACGGAGCGTTTTGCGCAGGAGCGCGGATCCTGGTGTGTGCGGGGTCCTGGTGCATGCATCATTCCATTCTTCGTTGCCTCCTCGGGAACACGGGGAAACAAGTAGACATCACCACACCACCCAGACGTCGCCCCCGACCCTCAAAAAGTCCTGGGATTGGAAAACGGCCCGCGATTGCTAATGTATATGCTCCAGCTTCCGAGTATGTCTAACTCCGATGTTGCTTGCACACGTCCTGAGCCCAAGCTGGAGAGCAAGGCTGCTGAGGCTCGTCCGTACATCGTGATCCGGCAGGTGATGCCTGGAGCAGCGAACTCCAAGGCTGTCGGGAAAGAGGAAGGCGACAGCACAGCACGGAAGAGAAACTGCACAGCACGGTGCGTCTGAACGCGCTGGATGGGACTGCAGAGCATGCAGAGCAGAGCGCAGAAGGGCTTGACACACACACACACAGACACACACAGGCAGAGGCACGAGCAGGGGCAAGCCCAGCCACGCACACCAACCTTGTACACCGATGAGGTTCGGCCACCACCCCGAGAGTCCAAGCTCGGGGCACTCCGCCACACCGCCCTCACAAGGCGAACTTCCCTTGAAACTGATATGCCCTGCCCACCCCCACTTGGCACACCCGAAGTGGGTGCGGAAAACATGGGCACGATGCGCAGCAACACATATTGTCTCAGACCGACAGCAGCCGCTGTTAGGCGGGCGACTCTTCGTCGCATCTGAACCACGTCCGTGTCGACACCGGCAGCCAGCCCTGTTCAAGACGGACAAAAGCTGCTACCAGTCTGTGCCCCCATTGCACTGTTGTGCCCCTTGGGCTCGTGCTGACCCATCCCCAGAGACTACGGACTACGGTCAGGAACTTTTGCTTAGCGTGTCGCGGCGGCGGCCCCGGCGGAACGCTATGCCCAGCGAGTGGACAACGTTCCGCTGCGCTCCGCGGGGCGGCTGGGCAAGTCTCGGGACGTGAACGTTCGGGAACTGGGACGTGGATAGCGGGTCGCGTCGAAGCGTGGTGGGCCAGAACCACCGGAGCGACACGCTGAGCCAAAGCTCCTGACCGCTTGCCCCGCTGCGGAAGTGCCTGCGCTTGAGGCGTAAGCGGGCCCAGCTGCTGCATTGCTAGGGAAACAAGCAATGACATAAACATCCAAACTCGGAGGCCCGCGCGGATTCCTCGGATCGGCGCTGGAGCCCCCCTTAGCGGCGCCTCCGGCGCCGCAATTGGCGCGCTCCGCGCGCCAGGGAGGGGCGTCCAACACCAATCCAACACATCCGCCCAGACCTTCGAGTTGTTCTGTTTATGTCATTGTTTGCTCCCCGAAGTGCGGCCTCTCCTTGATGGCCAGAGCGACCACGGCCTCCGTGTCGCCACGCCGCTCGGCCTCGTCGGCCTCGAGGGCGTCCCAGAGGCACTCCAGCTCCCGCGTCAGCGCGTACAGGCGCTGGGCAGGCCCCCGCTCTGATCAGAGGCGCCAACCAGTGCACAACCATGATGATGCTGATGCTGATGCTGATGCTGATGCTGATGCTGATGATGATGATGCTGGTGATGATCATCATCATCATCATCATCATCATCATCATCATCATCATCATCATCATCATCATCATCATCATCATCATCATCATCATCAGCACCATCATCATCATCATCATCATCATCATGATCATCGTCATCAACAGCATCATCACCAGCATCAGCACCATCATCATCACCATCCACATCCACATCATCATCATCATCATCATCATCATCAGCATCATCATCATCATCATCATCACCATCATCATCCTCCTCCTCCTCCTCCTCCTCCTCCTCCTCTTCCTCCTCCTCCTCGTCGTCGTCGTCGTCGGCGTCGGCGTCGGCGTCGGCGTCGGCGTCGGCGTCGGCGTCGGCGTCGGCGTCGTCGTCGTCGTCGTCGTCGTCGTCGTCGTCGTCGTTGTCGTCGTCGTCGCCGCCGCCGCCGCCGTCGTCGACACTTTCGCGGCTCCGCGCGGAGCTCTCTTGCCGCGGCGCTGGGCCCTCCCGTGGCGCCCCCCCCCCTCGGGCGCCGCCCTCTCGGCGGGCCCCCTCGGGCTCCTCGCCGGAATTAGCGCTCCCTCGCGCGCTACCCGCCGCGGGGACGCGGCCGCCCCTCGAGGCCCGAAGCCGACCAGCCACGACTGGGGGAGCTGGAAGATTTGGTGAAAACTACGGCATGGTTATATGATCAACTCTCTGTGACGCGTCCCGAAAAGACAGATTGCAAAAGGAGAGCTTGAAGGCATTACAGTTGCAGAGTTCCGGGACCCGACCCTTCGAGATCACGCTGTGGATCTATTGCGGCGCGCTTGCCGACCAGCCATAACTGGGGGAGCTGTGGTCCTTCCCCCCCCTGGGGGAACCCATCGCATCGACGATCTCTCGAGATGGGGTGTCGACATCGATGGGCCCCCCAGGGGGGGGTAAGGACCACAGCTCCCCCAGTCGTGGCTGGCCTGCGAGGAGAACACCCGAGGCACCGCACGCAGGAGCCTCTCCCTTATGGTGCCCCTGCCGCCCCTCCTGCCGCTGCCTCGTGCCCCGTGCGCTCCTGCCCCTGCCGATGCCGAGCTGCACCGCGCCGCGACGGCAAGCGATGGGCCTCGGCAGCGGCTCGGAGCGCGACGGCGTCGGAGTCGGCGCGGCATCGGCTCGGGAGATCGGCTGGTCTGGGGCCGTGGAGCGGCCCCTGCAGCCCGGAGAGGGGCTCGGTGCGTGCCGCATCGAAACGGGGATCGAACTGGGGATCGAAATGGGGATCGAAATCGGGGGAGATGGGGATCGAAATCGGGGGATCTGACCGAACTGGGGATCGACCTCGGGGGATCTGGCCGGATCGAGTGGGACCGTGAGCGGACCTGCCTGCCCGTGCTCCTCCTCCTGCTGCGGCACCTGCCGAGTGCTGCTTCTGGCCCCCCTCCGCCCACTGCGCGCCCGCGCGAGGGCAGCCCTGGCGAGACCCGCGGCCTCCCACAGTGGCCCCCTCCCCAGGCTCCTTCCCCCCTCCCCAGAAATCGCAGTGGGGGGTATGCGCGGCAAGTCCACTGGAGAGCCCTCTGTCGTGCGCTCGAAAACAGACCTGCTCTCCGATGTGCGTTCTGGGCACCCGTCCCCGACCAGGCCGCCTGGTATCTTGCCGGCTCGGACCACAGAACACCGATGGGGGCTTGGTGTCGCGCTTGTGTGACAGGAGCCTTGAAATCTTTACACTCACATGAAGTTCGGCAAGACGGCTACGGTGCTTATCGTCCTACTCCCACCTGCGAGCGTAGTGTAGGTCCACCTGGCCCTTTGTCTCTAGAGCCTGCCAACCCGCCCCCAACCCAAAACTGTTCCAGAACCGCCCGGAAACATCGATCGTCGTCGGTCGTCGACGACGACGCCAAAAGCTGCATTGCCCTTGCTACCCATCGCAACATGACACCACAACACAAACACCTCTCCTTGCTGGGACCCAAGAGAGGATAGCCGGCTGGACAGCTCTGGAAGGTGTGCTGTGTGGATCCCAATGCCGTCCGCTGCCAGCCACAATCGGGCAGGAGAGGAGGAAGACGTGCAGCATGCGAGCAGCACGGCCGAACGAAGGGGCGCAGAGACTCCCAGGCACCGTTGCGTCATTCTTCGGTGTCGGTGTCGAGCACACGAAGAGTCGTGTGCCGTGTGGCCCTCGAAGCAAGATCAAATTACGCCACCTGCTGTAATAACACAACCAACCGCACGTGAGCTCGGACAAACCTATAGATTCTACACCCCAGATCGCCTGCATCATTGCACCGTGTAAATAAAAAGTGTTGAGGAAATGGTGGGGGGAAGGGGCAGAGGAAGAGCGAGGACACCTGCCCGGATGTCTCGGGATGTCACCGAAGTGCAAAAGTCTAGAACGCCGGATCGGACTGTATCGGCACCGGGTCGAAGTCGAATCGGCTTGGCCGCGCCAGGATGCACAAGAACGCCCACACAAACACTGGGCTGAATCGGATCGTCGGGATGTCGGAATCCGATCGGATCGGCCATGCCAGAATCGATACCGGATCAGATCGATGGGATCGGAACGACCGTGCGGTCTGAGGACGAGAAGGAAGGAGCGGGGGGGAGAGTCAGGAAACGAGCAGGGAGAGGGAGGAGGGGGGGGGAGGGAGGACGGCAGGAACAACAGGGAGGGAGGGAGGAAGGCCAGATGGAAGGGGGGGGACGAAGAGAAGGAGCAGAGGGAGGGACGAGGAGAAGGAAGGAGAAGGAGGGAGCGAGGGAGGGAGAGAGGAGGGGGAGGGAGGCAGGAACGCGAGACGGCGCGCGGGCGCGCGGGGCGTGCCGGTGTCCTGCAGCTGGGCGGAGCCCTGCCACAGCGGCAGGTGGGGCGACGGGGCCTCGCGCGCCTGGGCCGCTCCCGCTGCACGCACAAGCTCAATGCGCTATCGATCCGCAGGAGCGGTTCATCCTTGCTCCTGTCCCCTCCCTCTTCCCTCCCTCCTCCTCCCTCAGAGTCCTTTCTCCTTCGCGACGCCTCTTTTCATCCCTCTTCCGCTCCCATGCTCCTCCTCGTCCCTCCCCCCCTAGGGAGAGAAAAAGCCCACCACCGCCCAATCTTGGCAAGGGCGCAAGGACTGCCGATCTGCGGGACGGAGGGGTGCGCAAAATGCCCCAAGCTGTTCACACCATCGCGACCAGCCCCGGAAACAAAACACGGAAACCAAATACGATGAGGCAAGCTTGGACACTCCCACCTTGTCACCGGTAATTCGCACACCTGTGAAAGCGTGAGACGGGAGAGGGAGGCTGAGGGACGGCGACGAAGAGGGAGGGATGGGGTGAGGAGACGAGTGCCACAAGAACTGCAGTCGCATCCACCTCCTGGAGGACCGCGAGGATTTGTTGGGGTCGGCGCTCGACCCCCCCGAAACAGTGCCGGGAGCGGCGCAAGGGGGGCGGGGGCACAAAGAGGCCACGCGCCGACACAAGGGGGAGCCGCGCGGGCCTCTGGAGGCGTGCTAGTACCGCCGTCTTCCCAGGATTGTCTCGGGGACGGAGGCGCGCAGCTTCCTCCTCCTCCTCCTCCTCCTCCTCCTCTGGCACGCGCGCTGCGGCGTTGCATGCGAGTGGCTCGAGCTCCGTGCCGGGGCAGGCTCCAGGGAATGCCAGCACATCTGGCGGCCCTCGTTGCTGCAATCCGCGCGGAATATTCGAAAGCCCTGGCAATCCGGGAAACCTGGAAACGTATAATTATCATGACCTCTCGCCCCTCTGATCTGGGACGCAAGAGGACATGCTAGTACGATGTGTGCTCCTCAAAGGCGTGCGTCCGACCAAATCATACCGTAGAAATATATTGTAATAGATCGTTACCCGACCAGTATGTCCAACATACGCCCGCCACGGAACATGTGCTATAAGAATTATCGTCGCGCGCGTCGCCGGTTTGGGGGCGACGCACAAATCACATGTTTCGGCAACTCTATAACTAATTGTATTTTCATCTCTTGTGTTACTTCCGCACTCTTCCGCCGACCTTCCGCGAACATGATTGATATTGACGGTTGGCTTCCGCACTCCTTCCAGAAACCTTCTGCTAACCTCCCGCCACCCCGCACATGCGCCCATAATGAACACTCACTGCATCCTACTCTCCTCCTCGCCGAGCTAGGCTATACGCAAGAGTGACCCTGGGTAAGAGTGACTTTTGGTGCGCGACTTTTCGGGGGCCGCGGGGGGACCAAGCCTGGGCGCGCAAGCCGCTGCTACCGCTTCGTCTTCGGCCATCCGGGGACCCGTCTGTGCCCGCACCGGAGGCCACTCCGGCGAGAGGCCACTCTTACGCCCAGTCGACGAGCCCCCTCGGGAGCCTCCCGGTCGCGCTGCGACCCGCTCACGCCGAGCGGCCCGCTCGCGCCGAGCTCGCCATCGCCCCTGGCGCCAGCGGTGCCGCCAACAGGGGGCCGGCACGGCGCGACGATGGCGAGGGGGGCCGGCGAACGGAGAGGTCGCCCGGCCGAGAGCGGGGCGCCTCCTCCTCCTCCTCCTCCTCCTCCTCCTCTTCCTCCTTCTCCTCCTCCTTCTCGTCCTCGTCCTCCGCCTCCTTCTCCTCCTCTCCCTCCTCCTCCTCCTCCTCCTCCTCCGCCTCCCCTCCCCCTCTCCTCCCCTGCTCCCCTCCCCCTTCTCCTCCTCCTTCCCGCCCCTCCACCTCCTCCTCCTCCTCCTCCTCCTCCCCTTCCTCCTCCTCCTCCTCCTCCTCCTCCTCCTCCTCCTCCCCCTCTCCTCCCCTCCTCCTCCTCCTCCTCCTCCTCTTCCTCTCCCTCCTCCTCCTCCTCCTCCGCCTCGCAATCCCCCCTCCTCATCCTCCTCTGACAATTACTCAATATGAAAATACTCTCCCTCTTCCCCTGATGGCGTCCGGGTGATGGCCGCGCACCCTCCGCGTACTGTTTTTTAACACACAGGATTCCCGGGAAATCCCGGGAAACGACTCTCGCTGAGGCGCCGGCGTCATTTTTTCCCAAAATGCTGCTCTCGTCGAGGCGCCGGCCTCTTTTCTGCTCCCGAATCGTTCCGAATCGTGCTCCCGCTGCAGCGTGGGCCTCATTTTCGGATCGGTGTTTGGCCTCCGTCGTTCAGGATGGCGTTCTCGCCCAAGCGCGGGCCTTTTTCTCGCGCGCCCATCCGCCCGCCACCACCGCGCCGCACCGCCACCACCACCACCACCACCACCACAACCACCACCAGCACCAGCACCAGTACCAACACCACCACCAGTCACCAGGCACCAGTACCAACACCACCCCCAGCACCACCACCACCACCACCAGCAACACCGACCACCACCATCACCGATACACCACCACCACCCCACCACCACACCACACCCACCACCACCACCCCACACACTACCACCACAACGCACCACAACCACCACCACCACCACCACCACCACCACCACCACGACAACCACGCACACACGCACGCACGCACGTGCACCACCACCCACTACGCACGCGCGCGCGGAGCCACAGGTCCGCTACGACACGCGTCCGTGGATAGAGAAAATCAGCGCCATGGTAAGGGATGGGAGGGAGGGGTAGGACGTCAGATATGACGCGAGCGCACCTAGCTTGTCCTCCTCCCCCTCCTTCTCTATCCGTCCTCCTCCTCCTCATCCTCCTCCTCCTCCTCCTCCCTCCTCCTCCCTCCTCCTCCCTCCTCCTTCTTTCTCCTCCTCCTCCTCCTCCTCCTCCTCCTCCTCCTCCTCCGCAGCAGCAACTTACCTTCTACAGACAGGGAGCGTCCAAGAGCGGGGCGCCCACCAGGGGGGTGTTCGCAAATCGTGGCCCGAGGCACGCGCGAGGCCCGAGGGAGGACCACCGGGGCGCGCTGAGAGAAGGAAAAGGTGTCACGAGATCTGGGGGGCTACAGTCGAGGCGTTGACCTAAGGAACCCTAAATAAGGAACGAGGCCCCTTTTTCCCATCAGTTAAAATTCTGTGTCCCATCGAAAACCTAAGGACAACCTAAGGCAAGCTGCGAAACAATTAAGGAACGCGGAGCCCCTCCCCAAAGAAAAGGTGTCACGAGATATCTGGGGGGCTACCACGGCCCGGGTCATGATGCCCCTCCCTGCTCATCACCCTCGTCTTGGTCGCTACCGAAAACAAAAAACGGAGGAAAACCGGCCAGGCTGGGCACACCCGCCTTCGTGAAGCGCTGGACCTCCTTCCCCTCCACGGACCTGCCTCATTGGAGGCAGGCCAAGTCTGCACCCAGAACCCCGCGCAACACGCTATCAGCTGTAGACGAACGGATGGGCCACTTCGCTTAAAGACGGCCGGAGACCAATTCATGTGTCCGTCCACGCGTGCCCCGTTTGCGAAAGACCCCCGTGTAGACAGTGATGGCCCATTCATAGCCCCCCCAAGTCTCCCCATCCTCCGTCGCTCAATCCTCCTCCCCCTTCTCCCCCCCTCGTCCTCCTCCTCCTACTCCTCCTCCTCCTCCTCATGAACTTGTTCCTCCACCCAGTCAGCCGATTCTGTCCTGCTCGGAAAACTAAATCGGAGGAAAGAAGTGGAGTCGGAAGATGAACCGGGGAGGGGGGGGAAGAAGGAAGGAGATGACGAAGAGGCAGATGACATATTGAGCAACCTAAGTGCGAGGGCGCCATATCTGACGTCCCACCCCCCCATCCATCCCTTGCCACTGCGCCACGTTTTTCTGAATGCCGGCTGGGGTGTCAAAAACGACCGTTGTCATCAACATTCCCACGTCGTGCGATGCGCAATCCGAACGGGGGGCTTTGTACATCGGCAGAGGAAGATGATGATGATGAGGATAAGGAGGAGGAGGAGGAGCAGGAGGAGCAGCAGGAGGATGAAGAGGAGGAGGAGGAGGAGGAGGAGGAGGAGGAGGAGGAGGAGGAGGAGAAGGAGAAGGAGGAGTCGGAGGATGACGAGGTGCAAAGGAGGACTCGGAACGCGGAATCGCGACAAACTGTGGCCTAAGGGTATGAAGGAGGGGGTGAGGAGGGAAAATGAGCCGATAGGGGGAGGAGGCGCGTGAACTGCGGATCGCGCACTGCCCGCTACGATGAGGGGGGAGTAATGGCGGAGGAGGAGGAGGAAAGGATGAGGAGGAAAGTGAGGAAAGGGGAGGAGGATTAGGGTGGGGGGGGTGGGCATGGAAGGAGGGGGAGGAGGAGGAGGAGGAGGAGCAGGAGGAGGAGGAGGGGGAGGAGGAGAAGGAGGAGGAGGAGGAGGAGGAGCAGGAGGACGCGGGAACGCGGATCGCGACACTGTGGCTAAGGAGGAAAAGGAGGAGGACAATGAGCAGGAGGAGGAGGAGGAGGAGGAGGAGGAGGAGGAGGAGGACGCGTGAATGCGGATCGCGACACTGTCGCTAAGCAGGAGGGGGAGGAAGAGGAGGAGGAGGAAGAGGAGGAGGAGGAGGAGGAGGAGGAGGAAAGGGAGGAGGAGGAGGAGGACGGGGAGGAGGTTGGTAGCGGCTGAGCAGGAGGATGTGCAGAACGCCGAACAGCAAGACGAGGAGGGAGGAGGAGCAGCGGCAACTGCAGGGCGGGGAACAGGAGCAGGCGGGCCAGGGGAGCCGCGGAGGAGGGAACACAGGATTGGGGCCACAACGGCGAGGAGCGAATCAGATCCGAGAGTGCGGCCCGCGCTGGGGCGGCGACGGCCCACACCTGCACGACGGGAGGGGGAGCCTCCGATCGTGAGATGCTGCCAGGTCTTCAGCGGAAGCACTTGTTCTACAGTCGGGGCGTTGACCTAAGGAATCCTACATAAGGAACGGGGCCCCTTTTTTTCCATGAGTTAAACTTCGATTTCCGATCGAAAACATGAGGAAAGCCTGAGGCAAGCTGTGAAACATTTCAGGAACGCGGAGCCCCTCCCCAACGACAAGGGTTCCTTCTTCAGGGCCCCGACTGTAGGACAGAAGCCGATGAATTCCTGTGGGAGATGCAATATTCGGGAAGGAGTGGGGGGTAGGAAAGGGCATGGCAACATCGGGGGGAAAAAGGAGACCAGTCCCTTGCAGAACCAGAAACCGTCAACTCGAAGTACTGCCCGAGCAATCATCTCGCCCTCCTGACCGCAACCTGTGCGGCCGCGATTTGCGCTTGCGCTAGCACTCGCATGCTCGCACGCAGAGCGGTCAACTGGTTTGGCACCACTGACGAGGCCGCAGTGGCGCTTACCAATGAGACTTTCCCACCGCGTCGTACAAGTCGCGCTGTCGCGCGGGCGCTTTGATGCGGGTCGGTGGCTCGGGCGGGCGGTGTAGCATGATGACGTCGACAACGGCGGCACCGGTGATGATAGTAGCGATGTTGGTGGCTATGGTGACGATGGAGACGGCAAGGCCAGTGACGGAGCCGATGCCCGTGACGACGATGAAGATAATGATACCCACGCGTCGGTGATATCCTTCTCTCTTTCTCTCTCTCTCTCTCTATATATATATGTATGGTTGGCGGGTGATGGCGGCAATGACGACAATTGAGGGGAAGGGAGGAGGAGCAGGAGGAGGAGGAGGAAGATGAGGAGAAGGAGGAGGAGGAGGGAAGGGAGGAGGAGGAGAAGGAGGAGGAGGCAGGGACGGTGAGGAAAAGGATGAGAGAAGGGGGAGGAGGAGGAGGAGGAGGAGGGAGGAGGAGGAGGAGGATGAGGAGGAGGAGAGGAGAGGAGGAGAGAAGTAAGAGAGGAGGAGAGTAGGGAGAGGAGGGAGAGGGGAAGGAGGAGAGAAGGAGGAGGAGGAGGAGGAGGAGGGAAGGAAGAGGAGGAGGGGGAGACGGAGGAGGGGGGGGGAGGAGAGGAGGAAAGGGGAGGAGGAGGGGAGAGGAGGAGGAGGAGGAGAGAAGGAGAAGGAGGAGGAGGAGGGAGGAGGAGGAAGAGGAGGAGGAGGAGAGGAGGAGGAGGGGAAGAGAGGGGAAGGAGGAGGAGGAAGCGGAGGAGGAGGAGAGGGAGGGGAGGAAGGAGAGTAGGAAGAGGAGGCGGAGGAGAAGAAGGAGGAGGAGGAGGAGGAGGGGGAGGGGGAGCGGGAGGAGGAGGGATCAGGAGAGGAGGGGGGAGGATGGAAGACAGGCTGTGACCAGAGCAACCGATGGGGCAGCGCGGGAGCCATCACCAGGCGCTGTTGTCAGAAGGGGCAGGCGCACGGGAGCGACAGCAGGAGCGGGGGCGCCCACGGGAGTGGACAGCGGGAGCTTCAGCTGCAGCTCGGGACCGGGAGGGGGAAGCGCGGGAGCGGCAGCTGGGGACCGCTCGCGGATGGGCTTATCGTGCGGACGCAGAGCCTTTGCCAGCCAGTAGGCAAATGTGCCTCAATGGATACTGCTTTGCATTGTCCTCACATGCGCTGCGAGACCTGCTCTTTGAGCAGGGACCGACAGTCCCGGCATTCCTATAGTCCTGCCACGAAACGTGCTTAGAACCCTAAGTTGTTCGAATCATAAAAAACAATTATCGTAGAACATAAGCCCGATGTGTTAAAACAAAAGGACTCCACCAGACATGTTCTAAGAACATTTCGTGGAAACCACAGAAAAAAAAGGTTCTTAACAAATTGTTTGTTAGGGCTATAGGCGCGCCAGGACGCTTCGCCACTGCTTGATCGCTGAAAGTCCGATGCGCAACGAGCTGGGTATCAGAGGCGAGGTGCCGCAAATTCGGGAGGACGAGGTCGAGGGCCAGGGCCAGACCGGACGAGAGGGGGCGGGTGGGGTCTCGTTGGGATCCTATTCTGATCTTGGTGGGGTCCGCACTGAGGGTTCTGGGAACGGCTATCACTTCCAGGGGCGGACAGTAATGTTGTTTCGCCGAGCAAGGAGTCGATCATGCATCTCGACGGGGGTTGGCAGATCAGCTGCGCGCAGCTGGTTTCCCTGGCGCCTCCGCGCGCAAGGAGGCGACCACGTCGAGAGGACAGCGAGGCGGCGGGTCCGAAGCCAGCTGCACGCAGTTGAGCTCGTCAGCCGCCTGGAGACTGCTCCTCCGCCTCCTCCTCCTCCTCCTCCTCCGCCTCCTCCTCTTCCTCCTCCTCCTGCTGCTCCTCCTCCTCCTCCTCCTCCTCCTCCTCCTCCTCCTCCTCCTCTCCTCCTCCTCCTCTCTCCTCCTCTCCTCTTCCCTTCCTCCTCCTCCTCCTCTTCTCCCCTCCTCTCCTCCTCCTCCTCCTCCTCCTCATCCTCCTGCCTCCTCCTCCTCCTCCTCCTCCTCACCCCATCCCCCTCCTCCTCCTCCCATCCTCCTCCTCCTCCTCCTCTCCGCTCCTCCTCCTCCTCCTCCTCCTCCTCCTCCTCATCCTCCTACTCCTCCCCCTCCTCCCCCTCCTCCTCCTCCTCGCAGGCCTGCTCGGGTCCAGGCGTGGCCCCCTCCGCCGCCCCCTGCTTCGGAGGCGCGCCTCCGGGGGGGGGGTGGGGAAGAAGGAGGAGGGGCAGGCCTTCGCAGGCGGCGGCGGGGCTTCCCGGGAGCCCTCCCTGGGCGGCGCGCCGAGGCGGGTGCGGGTCAGACCGCCGCGCGCCACTCTGGGCGGCCCCGCCCTCCTCCCGAGGCCCCCTCCTCGCGCGGCCCCGCCCGTGGAGACAGTCCTCTCCTCTGCGGAGGGGGCCCCTTGGTGGAGGCCGAGCGCCACAGAGGCCCGCCTGCCAGACGAGGGCCCCGTTTTGAAGAGGGGCCAGCCTCCCTGCAAGAGGGGGCCGCTTCTTCGAAGGGGGCTGCTTCTCAGAAGGCGCCGGCCGTGCACCTGCAGACAAGGCCGGGGCCTTCTGAGAAGCAGGGGTGCTTCTAAGACGCCTTCCCCCTTCCCCCTGCCCCCCTCTGCGCGTGGCTGACCTCCCCTTCTGAGAAATCGCTTGTGCCTTCGGGGGAGGCGCAGGGAACTTCTCCCGAGGCCCGCCCCTTCGCACTTCTCCCCCAGGCCCTCCACTGATCCTGCTGCGAGGCGCCAGGAGTGGACGATGAAACGAAGGCCTCTTCGACCGTCGGCTTCCACCATGAGGTGACCCCACCCAGAATGACCCCAAATCGAATCGGTACATCGAATCGGCCATCGAAACTCATCGAATCGACACGAATTGGTAAGCAAACCGGAAGGCTTCGGAACCGACGTCCGCCGACCTGAGCCGAGGCATGCACGAGAAGATCCAAACCGAAGCTGGAATCCAAAAGCGAATCGCGACCCGACATCGGAATCCTCCAAACCGAATCGATCCGACTCGGCAGAAGCGCAATGGCTCCTGACCCCCCTAGTTGTTATGAAACATGCTGAGGGGACGTCGACGTGTTCTTCCATCATGCAAGTTTCGCTCTTGACTCGTCCAAGACAGTCTAAACACAACACCCTGGAGTGTGGACGTCGGCCAGGCGGCACTGCGACACTTGAACGCGCATCAAACAAAAACACAACACAACAACGCCCACAACGGAACGAAAACGTCGCCCTTGAACACGGAGAAAAAACACAGAGCTTCCAAGAATATCCAAAGCCGACCCGTCGGACGGCCTGTCGGGCGGCCGGAAGGCCATGCGGCCCGCCACAGCCCACCACAGGCCCGGCGGGGGGGGGGGAGAGCGCGCTGGCGCGCCCGCGGTGGTGCCCACCCCGGCACGGCGCCCGCGCTCGCGCGCTCGCTCGGGCCGCAGCGGAGGGGCGGGCGGCGCGCGCGGCGAGAGTGCGAGGCGACGGGCGACGACGAAGACGTTGGCAGACGACGGACGGCGACGGACGACGACGGACCACGGACGACCGACGGACGACGACAAACGACGACGACGACGGCGACGGCGACGACGACGACGACGGCGACGACGGGAAGCGACACCCTCCCCACCAGGGGCCACCAGCGGGAGGAGCCAGTGGGGGGGGACCCCTGGTGGTGTGGTCCCCCCCTCTTGCTCGAGACATCCCCTATCCTAAGCTCGGGAAAGCATCGTGGACCTCCTCGCAGGAGGATTCATGGGTGAGGAATCCTTAGGGAAACGATCTCACATATGGAATCCAAAACAAGGGGTCCGTAATACGTAATTCCCAGTGAGGCATCGTTGGCAACAGCTCCTTACGAGGGAATACATAGTAAGGATGGAAGGGAAGGAGAATCGAGGAGGAGGCGGAGGAGGCGGTGCTGCAGACGGAGCTTGGCTTGCAGCCCATACACAGGCTGGCTGGCGACGGGAGGGAGAACAGGAGGGAGAGAAGAGGACGCGAGAGAGGGGGCTGTGGTGCACGGGCTCCTGGGATTCTGTCCAGGGCGCTGGGATGTGGGCTATTGGAGCGGCCCGCTCGCAAAGGAAGGCGAGCCTGGGGGGAACGTCCCGAGGAAAACCTCCGACATCAGAAACATTATATGTTAAAGTATTGCCGAGCCTTGGATGCTACAAACAATGTGTTTGACAATGCTTACTCCACCTCCGAAACCGAAAACAACATAAACGATACCGTCTCGGAGTCCTGGATGGCAAAACCATTGCGTGTTACCATGTTTCCTCAACCTCCGAAGCCAACCACATCGCACTGTACAGCGTTTCCAAGCCCTGGATCCTAACAGCAATGTGTACATATATATATATATATATCTATATCCATCTCTCTATATATATATATGTATATACACACGCTGCTTTTTTAATATACGGATCCAACAACATAGTACGTTACTCTGTTTCGGAACTCTCGATGCCAAGCACGCTGTGCTTCATAATGATTCCCACCCTCAGAACCAAAAACCTTTCAACGCTTCGGGGCCCTGGACACTAAAAACGCAATGTTTTACAATGCTTCTCAATACCCGAAGCCAGAAGCATTGTAGTGTACAGCGTGTTCGACCTCCCCCATCCTCCTCTCTCCTCCCTGGCCCTCCTAGTCCTGGGGAGAAGGTTCCAGGACACCCCTCAAAAAAACCTGGATCCACGGGTGCCATTTTTCCAGGCCCGGGACAACAATTGGACCAGTGGATCCAGAGGGTCCGATTTCGTGTTTCCTGTGAACTTTCCCCCAGAGCCAGCCTCCCCCCCTCCTTCCCCGCACTTGCTCTGCATCAGACCCCCATCGGCGGAGGAGGAAGGGAGGCGCTGAGGAAAGAGGAGGAGCGTGGGCATCACCACGTGCAACCCCACTTGCGAAGACACGCATGCAGAACGAAATGCAGAGGAGAAGAGGAAGACAACTTCGCGCACATCAGTGACCTTGCGGATCTACGGGCGTGCGGGGATGCCCGCACGCCCATATACACATATCTATAGAAATATACATAAACACGCATACACACATACATACATACATACCTCTATATATTTGTATTTATGTGTAGATCGATGTATACAGACATGCACATATATATATATAAATACATATCTGTATGTATAAGTCCATACTTCAATCGGCATTGCAGCGCCCCTCGGCTGGACTGGTCTCCTCACACACAGTGCCGATAAGATCGTGGTTGCGACGCTTGTGTGCAATGTCTCCGACCTCTCATACACATACATCCACCGCAGCTGGAGTACCGTTTACGGATACTGGGGCGCTCGCACCTTGAGCGTGGTCCATGGACGACGGCTTGCGTCCACATCCGAACGGACGCTCGCACCAATCCACTTCGCCGGCGGGTGGGCCCGCATCAGCAACAATCGCAATGAACACCACCACCACCAACTTATCGCGAACCATTGCTTCTGAGAAATTCACCTACCAGATAGCAGCATCTCCGAGGTGCCGAGCTTGCCACTCGCTCAAACTACGAAGGAGTACAGGCAGGCGACACCCATTGGGCCAAGAGCCTGCTTTCCCAACGCCCGCCAACAGCGTTGTCAACACCCTGCTGTGGCCTCGTCTGGCGTCCTCGAGCCAACGATCTGAATTCCAAGGGCCACGGTCTTCGTACACGAACGCTGGCTCAGAGCTCGCAGAGCCAGTCCTTCGTAAAATGCATAACTGATATGCGTTAGTGCAGCCACGACCACCTGTCAGCTGAGCAGGTTCGGCGCCCGCGCAACCACGACATACTGCGAAGTGCTACGGCCCCCCACTTCCACAGCCACGACTTGTTGCCACATGCACCGGTTCCGCGCTTGCGAAGCCACGATCTCTTGTGAAATGAAAGAGAGCTGTGATCGCACTGCTGCGACTCCCTACACTCGCGCCCAAGAGACCGCGACAGATTGTCTGCCGACCCCCGCCTGTCGGGGGTGGAAAGGCGTGTGAGGCATTTGGCTGTCGCCCTCCCCCGTTCCCCCTTCCCAGGACCCCAGGATCCCATTCAAGGGGGAGGGCCGGGGGGCCCCTCGGGGCCTCCAGATAGACATTCAAAACCTCAACAAGAACCTCCAACAACCTCCAAAAACTTCCAACAGCCTCCAAAAACGCACCCTCGGGGCCTCCAAAAACCTCCAAAGACACACTTCGTAGCCTCCTTGATGCCCAAGATGCCATCCAAGCTGGTTCAAGCTGGGCTCCGACGCGCCGAGGAGTCTTCAAAAAGACGACGAGAAGGGCCTCAAGACTCCCCAAAAGAGGCGTCAAAACCGCCCCAGGAGGGCTCCTAGACGACTACCCAGGAGGCCTTCAGAAACAAACATCGTCCCAATCCCCTTGGGAACCATTTTTTGTCTTGCATATTCGCATCTTCGGTCTGCACAGCGTCCAGGACGGCGCATGAGGCCCCCAAGATTGCCCCGAGACGGCCCCAGAGGCGCCCAAGAGGGCCCCACCAGTGCCACAAGAGTGGCCCAAGAGAGGCAACTCGAACTGACATCCTGAGTCCTGCGCCTTAAGAGGGCGCTCGAAACCGCCAGCAGGCGCCCAAGGAACTCCCAAAGGCCTGGATAGGCCCCCAGGAGGCGCAAGAGAGGCCCCCAGAGAGCGCCCAAGAGGCCCCCAAGAGGCCTCTCCCGTGGACCCACTCCTTCTTCAGGGAGTCGGCGGAATGGCGCAAGCCTCCTGAAGAGATCTTCGGTGGGACCATGCCTGTCAAAAGCGTTGATTTTTGATTGCGGGTGACGCGGAAGCAGCCGCGCACCGTCAGAGGGTCGAGCAGCACAGGGCCAAGGCGCACAGCGAGACTGCCGCCAGCGAAGCGCCGGTCAAGGCCTATATCCCCAGTGGAAATGAATCGCAAGCCGACGGCCGATCCGATGGATCCACGCTCCCGAGGCAACGGCCCCTCGCAACAGAAGTGTCCGCGCCTGCGCCGCCACGGTCCTTCCTACGGTGCAAGGGGTACACGCTCGCGCAACGCACTCATTAATATCATCGCGACGGACCGACGCTCGCGAAATCGCGGTCCCTCGTAACAGAATGGAGGCCCATAATCGCAGGCGGTGGTGATTGGTACCAGTAATGTTTGCCAACGTAGACCCCACATGATGAATCATTGCAGTGTGAATGTGCGGAAGGTATGTGGTACAATCGATTTGGCGCCAACTACGTGGTGCAATCCGTGTGGTGCACTCTACGTAGTGCAAGATTAGCGGAGCACTATAAGTGATGAGAGCTACGTGATGAAACGTATACAGTGTTAACTACATGGTGCAAGCTAGGTGGTGTGCGCTATGCGGCGCAAGCTGGTTGGTGAAAGCTATGCAGGTACCAACGATGTCGTGGTGCGAGATATGTAGTGCAATCTACGTGGTGCTATACATGCTGTGCAAGGTATGCGGTGCAACTTATGCCGCGTAAGCTAGATGCGGTGTATGCTGTGGGATGCAGGCAATGTGGTGTACGCTATGCGGTGCAAGCTGCGTGGTCAAAACTGGGTTGTGCAAGCGATGCCGTGCAATCTGTGTGGTGCAAGCAATGTGATCGACGCACATCTGGCCAAAGCTATGCGGTGTACTCTCTTGTGTTCAGCTATGCGGCGTGAGCACTGTAGTGTCGACCATGTGGCGTGATTTGTTGTTTCACACTGACCACACACCCCACCTCAATGCGAGAGGGCGCACGCTTTCCTGGCTCCCGCGGGAGCCCACCAAGGCGCCTCTACTGAGACCAGTGCCAGCAGCAGCGATCCGCCACCGCTCCTTCGAGTGCCGGGCAATGCACAGCGATCAGATTGTTATCATGCCAATGGGGCGCCCGTGAGGCGTCCACAGGGCGGGCACCAGGCGAAACCCCAGCGGACGCACCCGGCGCAATTGGCGCCCCCACGAGGCGCCCACGACCAGCCACCAACAGGTCCTTCTCCTCCTCCTCCTCTTTCCTCCTTCTTTCCTCCTCCTCCTCCCTCCTCCTCACTCCTCCTCCTCCTCCTCCCCTCCTGCCTCCTCCCTCTTCTCCCTCCTCCTCATCCTCCTCCCCCTCCTCCTTCCTCCTAGCTTCCTCTCCGCCTCCTCCTCCTCTCCCTCCTACCTCCCCTACCCCCTCAACCTCCCTCCCTCCTACTTTCCTCTTCCTCTCCTCCTCCTCCCTCCTCCTCCTCCTCACTCCTCCTCCTCCTCTCCTCCGTTCCTCCTCCGCCTCCTCCTTTCCGCCTCCTCCTCCCCTCCTCCTCTCTCCTCCTCCTCCTCCTCCTCCTCCCTTCCTCCTCCTCCTCCCATCCTCCTCCTCTTTTCCTCCTCCCCTCCCTCCTCCTCCTCCTCCTTCCTCCTCCTCCTCCTCCTCCTCCTCCTCCTCCTCCCTCCTCCTCATCCTCCTCCTCCTCCTCC